GAGAATCCCCAGAGACTCATTTAGCAGAACAGCCCAGACCTGTTGCCGTGCTTGACTGAAGTGTGTGTGTGTGTGTGTGTGTGTTTTGACAGGAGCGTATCCTGAACCCTCATGCAGCGTCCTGTACGTGTGCAGCCTGCTGTGATGATCTGTCAACAGTGAGTGACACGGTGACTCAATCTCATTATTATAATCATAATTATACAATACAGTATATATATTACACAAACTCGGAGTAAAGATGAAAAATTATTTTTAAGAAAATGACAACTGAAATAAAATAATAAATACAAATGAAACAAGAATGTAAATTAACAAATACTATACTAATATACTAAATAAAGTAATAAATAAATAGAAAAAGGATGGTCGTGTCTAAATAGTAAGGGCCAGATTTACGAAACAAGGCAAATTAGCATTAGAGCGCAATTCCAAAACAGCGCCGATGGGTGTGGAAATTTCTGCTGGTGATTTACTGACAACGTGCAAATTAAATACAGACGCAACATCTCATTTACATATTGGCCAATTCAATATACCAAACGCAGCATAAATTAGCGTACTCGCAAAAAAGCAGAGCCGATGCTCATCAGGTGCGGGTGATCTTCTCATGACACAGGTGCAAAATAGTTTAAGACATGCTTTTTTTGAGCGTTAAATAATGACGAAAATATCAGCAATTTGACGATAGTAAATCACATTGCGTGATTCATTTTAATACTCTCCTCCCATAAATTTTGCGTCTGAAAGGGATACTCCTACAAATGCATATTCAATAAGGTGAGTTACAAAAATAACTCTATCTGTGCCTTTTCAGCGAATTTTCAATTCGTCACTGTGCATCTTTAGTAAATCCTGACTACTATTTTAATGCCAAAAGACGGTTTGCGCTGGCGCAAGCTAATTGTAAATCTGGCCCTAAACCTTTTTGAGAGAAACATGTGAATATGTAAATGTATAGTATATTATATTTATATATATATATATATATATATATATATATATATATATATATATATATATATATATACTGTTATCAAAAAGTAATATAAAATAAATAAATAAATATTGATTATATACAGATCCAAAATATTTATTTAAACAACATGTATATTTATAAATCAATATTAATATGCAAATGCAAATAAAAAATCTGAATATAAATATGTATTTTGAAATAAAATGAAAAATGATGGCCATGTTTAGACCGTAAATCTTTTTGAGTGAAACTATATATTTATATATTAATTATATTATAAATTATCATGATATAATACTTAAATTGTTATATAAGTATTATTATTATTATTATTATTACTACACAATAATATAAAGTCATAAGGTTAAATATTAAAAACAGAAAAAATATTTTAAACAAGCAATATATTTCTAAATAAATGTTATGTAAAAAGGATTTAAAATAAAAAAATGTACTATGAAATAAAATTAAAACAAAAATGTATGGTTGTGTCTAAATCAGTGAGTAAAATTCAGTTATACAGATATATGAATGTTTATTATAGATTTTAATTATATAAAATATTGTTATATAAATATTATTATAAAACAGTAAAAGAATAATCATATAGATTTAATACGTATAAATAAATATTAATATTCTGCAAAAAATAAATATACATTGTAAGTGTGTTGCATGTGAATCTGTGCATCTGTGAGTCTTTTTTTGACAATCTTAAATGGAAAAAGTCGTGCTTATTTCATTCTTATATGTGACCCTGGACCACAAAATCAGTCATAAGGGTCAATTTAATAAATTAAAAAAAGAATAAATAAGCTTTTCATTGATGTATGGTTTGTTAGGATAGGACAATATTTGACTGAGATACAACTATTTGAAAATCTGGAATCTGAAAAAAAATCAAAATATTGAGAAAATCGCCTTTAAAGTTGTCCAAATGAAGTTCTTAGCAATTCATATTACTCATCAAAAATTAAGTTTTGATATATTTACGGTAGGAAATTTACAGAATATCTTCATAGAACATAATCCTTATTTAATATTCTAATATTTTTTGCCATAAAAGAAAAATCAATAATTTTGACCCATACAATGTATTTTTGGCTATTGCTGCAAATATACCCCAGCGACTTAAGACTGCTTTTGTGCTCCAGGGTCACATATAACAAAACTTTCTTTTGCCTGTTTCTTCTCCAGTGTACGAAGGACGGATCTTTCGGAGGAGAGAACATCTCCATGGTAATTAGTAATCTCTGAAGTCTCAGTCGTGATGTCATATTGCTCTAGAGACTATTTCTGGATTCTGGTGCCCTACAGACGGGCCCCGTCAGACTGTTCGTCCCTTATAAAAGAAGGAAGAAGGACAACGAGCGGGCAGCTTCTCCTGAGAAGAAGGAAGTTCAGTCTCCAAAGAACATCACTCTGGGTCCTGGAGCAACATGTAAGATCCTTAATGTTCCCCTGTTCTTCTGTATTAACATCCAGTCAAACACTGTCAGTTGAGACTGATTACCTGGTAATAACATCCATCTAAACCATGTCTCCTGTGACCAGATTCTGATGTAGTTGAGAAAAAAATCCATTTGCAGCTAAATGAAAATAAATGGACTGAATTTCTTAATTAACTCACCATGAGTTATTTAGAATACTTTTTTTTTTTTTTTTAAATGTTTGTGTCGGCCAGCAACTAACAACATCACAAGCTGGCGTTGATGTAATATATAATATGTATATATACATATATATTCTCTCTCTCTCTCTCTCTCTCTCTCTCTCTCTCTCTCTATATATATATATATATAAAATAATAAATTAAAATAATAAAATCAATTAAATTCTTACAAATATATACTAAATAAATAAAATAATTATAAAATATATAAATTAAATCCAAAGTCAGAATTCGTTGTTTTCTGCTTCTGACTAAAATAAAACACAAAAATAATACATCAATAATATATAATACACAAATGAATGAATTAATACAAATAAATAATAAAAACAAAATAAATACATAAAAAAAAATAAAACAACAAAATGCATCATTTTCTGCATCTGGCTGAAATATTTTTTTTTATAATTATCATTAATTGAATATTGTATTTCAGTTAGTTGCAGATAATAATGTTTTTTGTTTTTTATTTATTTTATTATTATTTATTTATTTAGTTTTTTAAAAATAATTATTTGTGATTGTTATTTATTTGAATCACGCAATATTAATAGTATGTTAAAAAAGTATGCAAAGGAATCAAAAATATCAATAAAAATATATTATGAAATACAATTATTTATATTTTTATGGTTGCATCTAAATAGTAAACCCTTTGAAGTGAAACTTATAAATATAAATATACAAATGTGTATTTTATAAATGTTTGTATAAGTATTATATAATAATCTTATTATTCCAGTATCCGAAGATATATATATTTAGTCTGTTGTGAGTCTGATATCGACTGTCTGCCTCAGGAGACACCGGAAACGGCTCCCGACTGTCTGTCTGCTCTCAGTTACAGTGACTCCGTCCGGACAGATCACCACATCAGGCACGCTGACCTTTGACCGAACGGCGACAGGAGAGACGGCGGCCATCATCTCCGACAGCCCAGCGCCTGCTGACGTCTTCACCAACACAACCGGTGAGTGGTGCCTTCACAAACACTACAGCCAAAGGGGTTTTTTAATAACCAAAACCACGTACTTGCATACTACTATTTTGGAAGTATGTAGTATGGGTTTTGTGCACAGTATTCTGTACGTATTGAGTATGTATATTCACTACATTTGCCAAAATGTGCAGTATAGAACAGAGCACACTGCGAGGAATACTGTATCCCACAATGCAATGCACTTGGGTTGACCTTCCATTTCCAGTAAGGCGAACGTTTTTTATTATTTGTTCAAATTGGCAAATTGAGGCATTATTACTTATAAACATGCAAGTAAGTGTGTGATAACTGGATGCCCCTTGTATACTGGATGAGTAAAAACAGCCAATCGGATTAAAGCTCTTGCGTTTCTTTGTGTGCAATTTGCATCAGAGGGTCATTGACTGGTCCGTCGGCGGTCTGTGATCGTGCCATCTGAGGTTGAGACTCTCTCCCCCTCTGAAGCCCAGAATTGGCCTCTCTCTGGCTCGTTTTTGGCTGGAAACAAAAAGAGCTGTTATTTTTAGGCCCCTTTGTGTGAGACGGAGGCCGTTTGGAGCTCAGCGTGAGACTCTGATAATGAGTTGTTGTACCCTGTCCAGTTGGGGTGACTTCTGTTAAATGGCACATTTGTAGGACAGAGGGTACGTCGGGTTTATCCTCATATGGGTCACGTTTGGACCGTTCGAACCCATCCTGTGAGCAAATGTCGGGATGTTTGAATGTGTTACTTTATAACACCTCTAAACCAATGATTCATTCTTTATTTCATCTGTGTTCCTAGAAATGATGAATTAATTAAGCACTGCTGAAGGTAATGCATTAACCTTTGAGATTAATTCAACGCGTTTGATGCTGTTAAATTCACCTCATTGTGTTTTGGCACATCTAGCTAATTTGACATCAAGACAGTTTCATTCTGTGGGGATGTTTGAATGTGTTACTTTATAACACCTCTAAACCAATGATTCATTCTTTATTTCATCTGTGTTCCTAGAAATGATGAATTAATTAAGCACTGCTGAAGGTAATGCATTAACCTTTGAGATTAATTCAACGCGTTTGATGCTGTTAAATTCACCTCATTGTGTTTTGGCATATCTAGCTAATTTGACATCATTTCATTCTGTGCAGTGTCACTTTTAAATCCTTAACAGAAATAAAAACTTCTAAACGTCTAAAAACATGAACTCATACACGTTCTATGGCTTCCTGGCTTTATTGTTAATGATTTATCAGCATGTTATTTCAAAAGAAAAAAATTCAGTTAAATTCTATTAAATGATTCAATGAAAAATCACAATCAGATCAATTCCTGACGTATGAAGTCATGTGATACATTTTTTTTTAATGAATATTTTATTTTAGCTCACCAATGGATCATTTGCAGTGAATGGGTGCCGTCAGAAGGAGAGTCCAAACAGCTGATAAAAACATCACAATAATCCTCAAGTAATCCACACCACTCCAGTCCATCAGTTAATGTCTTGTGAAGAGAAAATCTGCATGTTTGTGAAAAACAAATCTATCATTAATGCGTTTTAACATCAAACTGTTGCTTCCGATTAAAATACTATTCATATATTCTATAATATTGCTTCCTCCAGTGAAAAAGTGGTCTCGTCTGATTTAGGAGAGAAATATGCACAAATCAAACACCATTTACAAGGCGAAAACAGTCCAGAACAGTTCTTAACAAATATGTGGGTTGAGTTTGATTTGAGAGGATAACAGGAGATGGACTTCTTCCCTGGAGGAAGCATTTTTATGGTATATGGTCTCCAGAAGCAACGGTTTAAAGTTAAAATGTCTTAATGATGGATTGGTTTCTTATAAACACAGTTTTGCGTTTCACAAGACATTAACTGATGGACTGGAGGGGTGTGGATTACTTGTGGATTATTGTGATGTTTTTATCAGCTGTTTGGACTCTCATTCTGACGGCACCCATTCACTGCAGAGGATCCATTGGTACATTTCTCCAAATCTGTTCTGATGAAGAAACAAACTCATCTACATCTTAAATGGCTTGAGAGAGGGTATATTTGCAGCACATTTTCATTTTGGGGTGAACTATTCTTTTAAGTACAAAAATATTTACAAAATAATTATTTTTATTTACTGACAACAACCAATGATCCATACATTGCTTTATATCCATCTTTCAAAGTCTTTCTATTCTAGTCTTGCTCTCTTTTCAAGAGATAGGATCAAGGTTTGAATTCTGTCTGAGGGTTGATTTCTGAAGTTGAGGGCATTCATCCAGTGTAGATGTTTCGCCCCAGGGAGCGTCACCTCCGATTGAAAGCGGCTCTGTGTCACTGATCCACCACTGTGCTCTGTGTCTCAGGAAATCATCGCTCTCTCCCTCTTTGTATCTCTGTCAGGCTGTGTGTGTCCGAAATGCTTCAGCACTTCTCTTTTAAAGCATCCTGACCTCGACTCGCTTGGACTGATTCGTGAAAATAACCATAAAAAAAGTGTGTCCACAGCACTGGACCGTAATATTACAGAGAAAATTAATTTCTGCCACAGGAAAATGGGTGCATATTCTCACACCTCCAAAGTATTGATGTAGGAGCAGTGGCCTAGTGGTTAATGCACATGCTCAGACACATTGAGCTGTGGTGCTCATGTGGCCACCGTGAGTTCAAATCCACCTTTCAGGATTCAGGGGAAATAAACATTTATTTTTATAAAGAATATATATTTAGTTTTTTAGTTCAGCTGATAATGTGTATATATATATATATATATTTTTTTTTATACTGGTACATATATATACACAAGTATGTACATTCCACACAAGCAATTGTTCAGGTTTTCATTTTAATTTTAGCTAGTTTTTGTGATTTTAAGTCATTTATATAGTTATAGTTTTTATTTCTTTTTATTTCAATTTTTGTTATTTGGATGGGAAATTTCATTTTAAATGTAATATTTTAGCAACTAGCTAAAATCAAAATGTTTTTATATTTGATTTCAGTTAAAGGAACACTCCACTATTTTTGAAAATGGGCTCATTCAACTCCCCTAGAGTTAAACAGTTGAGTTTTACCGTTTTCGAATCCATTCAGGCGATCTCCGGGTCTGCACTTTTAGCTGTAGCTTAGCATAGATCATTGAATCTGATTAGACCGTTAGCATCTCGCTCAAAAATGACCAAAGAAATCAAGGAACTTTGCTGCCGTACCATGGGTGCAGCAGGCGCAATGGCCTGAATTACGCAGGGCCTGAAAATAGGAAGTTACCTAGCTGGGGACTATTTTCAGGCGCTGCATAATATCATTGCGCCTGCTGTTTTTGAGCGAGATGCTAAAGGTCTAATCAGATTCAATGATCTATGCTAAGCTACAGCTAAAAGTGCTACCGCCAGACCCGTAGATCGGCTGAATGGATTAGAAAACGATAAAACCCAAATGTTTAACTCTAGAGGAGTTGGAAAATGAGCCTATTTTCAAAAATAGTGGAGTGTTCCTTTAATGTTTTTGTTTTTCATTTTTATTAATTTTTTTGTTATTTTAGCTTACCAAGTTAAACATTTTAATTTTAATTTTAATATTTTAACAATTAGCTGAAATAATATATATATATATATAAAATGTATATGTGTATATATACTGTATATGTGTATGCATGTATGTGTGTGTGTGTATATATATATATATATATATATAATTTTATTTCAGTTTATCACAAATGACTGGGGAAATCATGGAAAGTTACTGGTAAAATGTGGGAACTCTGGGCTTGTGGCATTTCACGATTCCGTTTTGCCCTCTTCTACTCATTATTTCACCATCCCTATTAATAAAAGTGACAAAAAGGCCAAAAATAAAAAGCTACAATTTATATTCTTGCTCATAACCTCTTCGTTCTGCGAGTTCCCTAGTATGAATACCCAGTTATGTTTTGTCAGATATAAGCCATGTTTGTGTTAGCAGATGTTTTTATCTCAGAAATAAGGGGATAAAGGGAATTTACTAACAGCAGGACATGTCAGATGTGTTGAATTATGGGAGATGTTTGAGCTAAAACACACAGACCACTGTTTGACTATACAATCAGAGGCTCAGATTCTGTATTTTGAAGCACGTTCACGTATGTTTGATCCTGTAGACAAAGAAACACAAATGAGATCAGTTGTCTCTCCTAGACGGCATTGAGATTCAATGTTTATATTCTTGCTCATAACCTCTTCGTTCTGCGAGTTCCCTAGTATGAATACCCAGTTATGTTTTGTCAGAAATAAGCCATGTTTGTGTTAGCAGATGTTTTTATCTCAGAAATAAGGGGATAAAGGGAATTTACTAACAGCAGGACATGTCAGATGTGTTGAATTATGGGAGATGTTTGAGCTAAAACACACAGACCACTGTTTGACTATACAATCAGAGGCTCAGATTCTGTATTTTGAGGCACGTTCACGTATGTTTGATCCTGTAGACAAAGAAACACAAATGAGATCAGTTGTCTCTCCTAGACGGCATTGAGATTCAATTGAGAGCAAGTGTAGTCAACATGAAATTTTGTTCGTCTGGGTCGAGTCCTTACTGAGACTGTCCTTTCCTGTCTGTTCCGAACCCACCTGGTCTTTTTTAGAACAAAAAGCTTTTAAAATTAAATGTGGGTCAGGGTTAAAGGGAGATCAGGTGAGGACGGACTGTAAATGTGCTAGTCAAGTCCCATCCCAGAGGAACATTTAATCGCGCAGAGGTCTTTCATCACTCAGGAGACGTAGGTTGGGCTTCATCTCGAATGTGTTTCTCCTCAGTGTTGACCACCATTCCTGCGCTGGCGGTGGTCCCTCAGCAGGCCGTGGTGCAGTCTAAACCCTCTCCGTCAGGGCCGATCACGAATGGGCTGGAGACGGCCGAGCAGCGCACGTGGCTTTACCTGGAGGAGATGGCCAATACACTGCTCAACAACGTCCAGCAACTCAAAGTCCTCATCGCACAGGCCAAACAAGTCAGTCAGAGCGTAGCGCATGGCGCCATCAGCCCAGAGAAAAACAGTAGCGTCAGAAAAGAGGTGACAGAAATACTTTATTCAAACAATTACAACCACAAAACTGGTCTCGGGTCAGTGTTGGGGAAAGTTACTTTTAAAAGTAATGCATTACAATATTGCGTTACTCCCTAAAAAAGTAACTAATTGCGTTAGTTACTTTTTATGGAAAGTAATGCGTTACGTTACTTTTGTGTTACCTTTTCTCATCTGGGCTGGGCTTGTTTGTTTGCTTTTAAAAAATAAAAAATAAAAAATTTTGGCAAACGTAAACGCTCTTTCACATCAAAAGTAAAATGAATAAGCCTCAGCCATTTTGAATTGCATGAAGCATAGGACGAAGGAGAAGAAAAAAAGAAACACAAATGTCATGTTTATCTAAAGTCATTTTTCGCTTATTAATATGGTTGAATTGGATCATCGAAAGTCAGCAGCAAAGATATTGGTTAATAAAATGTGATTAAATACATAAAGGATATTTATGTTATTTAACATATTTAGTCAGTCAATAAATGAGAAAACAAATCGGGCCGGACTCCGGCGGTGTAGAAACACTGACTGTCACACACCATCACCCGCTGTGTTTGGCAGGTGCTTCGCTTCAGATGTGACCGAGAGAGAGTGAAGCAGGACTATCAGCTGAAAACACACAGATGCTCCACGGGAAAACGCCAATAGATCCCAGAGTCTTTGCTTGTTTAAAATGCTAGTCTGTGTTGAGGCCAAAATGAACATTCTGGCGTTATTTACTCACCCATGTATTGTCCTATACATGTATCTTGTTATTTCTCTATTGAACACTAAAGAGGAGATTTTGCAGAATGTCCAGGCTGCTCTTCATTCACTTGGCAGGAGATATGTGCTTTGATATTCACACTGTTTTTACTCATATTCACAATGTCTTTGACAACATAAATTTGTATATTAATAGTTGTCACAACATTTTAGGTCTAAAAAAAAACACACATGTGAGAACACCAACTACATCAGCAGATCCCCACATGAGCCACATTATAAAAATTATTCATTCATTTTATAATAATTGTAATATTATGAAATGGTAGTTATTCATTTTTATATACAGTATATATCCTCAAGTTTGGGATCAGTAAGACTTGCAATGTTTTTTAAAGAAGTATCTTATGCTCATCAAAGCTGCATTTATTTGATAAAAAATACAGAAAAAAACCCGTAATCTTGCAAAATGTTATTACAATATAAAATAATGGTTTCTATTTTAATATACTTTAAAATATAATTTATTTCTGTGATGCAAAGCTGAATTTCCATGAGCCATTACTCCAGTCTAAAGTGTCACATGATCCTTCAGAAATCATTCTAATATGCTGATTTATTATCAGTGCTGGAAACTTTTTTTGGAACCTTCTTTGATGAATAGAAAGTTCAAAAGAAGATGAATAGAAAGTCTTTTCTAACGATATACACTACCATTCAAAAGTTTGGGGTCAATACATTTTTATTCTTTCTTTTTTTGAAAGAAATTAAAACTTTTATTCAGCAAGGATGTGTTAAATTGTTAAGAAGTGATAGCAAGGATTTATATTGTTAGAAAAGATTTATATTTTGAATAAATGCTGTTCTTTTTAACTTTTTATTCATCAAAGAATCCTGAAAAAGTATTGCAGTTTGCAAAAAAAAAAAATATTTGGCAGCACAACTGTTGACAACATTGATAATTCTAATAATAAATCAGCATATCAGAATGATTTCTTAAGGATCATGTGACACTTTATACTGGAGTAATGGCTGATGGAAATTCAGCTTTGCATCACAGAAATAAATTATATTTGAAACGATATTAAAATAGAAACCATTATTTTATATTGTAATAACATTTTGCAAGATTACTGTTTTTTTTTTAATATTTTTGATCAAATAAATGCAGGCTTGATGAGCATAAGAGACTTCTTTAAAAACCATTACAAGTCTTACTGATCCCAAACTTTTGAGCGGTAGTGTACATACTTAGATAAAACTATTCTCTTAATAGTATTAATAGTGACACTAGTATGTTTCTTCTGTTTTCCAGCACACGTGTGTGAACTGTGGTCGAGAGGCGTCCAGTGAGTGTGCGGGCTGCCATAAAGTCCATTACTGCTCTGGCTTCTGTCAGCGAAAAGTAATTCCAGTCCTAGCAATCACCATCATATCACAGTGGTTAGAGCCTCTTTATTTTTGGATCCATCTTTCTGCAGGACTGGAAGGAGCATCAGCTGAGCTGCTGTCCACTGGGCACGACTGTCAGCATTCAGGAAGACGCTCAGATGGCCGGTGTGGAGGTGGAGAAAGGGAAGGCCTAGCGCTCTCACCGCAGAACCGTGACGTATGAAGTCTAGATGGGTGATCACTTCGGTTCATGTGTTTTAGTTTAGCTTTAAACGCAATTCTGACTTTTTTTCTCATAATACTAACTTTTTTCTTCAAACTACGAATTTATCTCACAATTGTTTTTTTGTTTTTTTAAGAATTGTGAGATATAAACTCAGAATTGCAAGAAAAAAGTCAGAAATGTGAGATTAAAAGACGCAATTTCTTTTTATTACATGACCGAAACAAAAAACTGAACTTTGAGATGTGAAGTCAGAATTGTGAGGAAAAAGTCAGAATTCAGAGTTTATATCTCACAATTCTGATTTTTTTTCTCAGAATTGCGAGTTTCTAAAAAAATGTCGGAATCTGAGATAAAAAGTCACAATTACCTTTTTTTTATTTTTTACCCACAATGGAAACCAACTTCCATATAAATCTCATTCATGCATACTAATTTTTTTTTAAATTTTCACATTAAAATGGGTTGTTTTGTGCAAATATTATAAATTGAAATCAGAGTGTGGAAAACTATTATGATACTTTTATTGTTTTTTTTTTTGTTGTTTTTTTTGAGCTAGTCAAAGAGCAGCTCAAAACTTATTATTTTGTGTCCTACAGGCAAAAGTCAGTCAAACAGGTCTGGAACACCATGAAGTTGAGTAAATGATGACAGAAGTGTTTTTTTTTTAGGTGAATTACTCCTTTAATTGGACAATAATATATTTTCAGAAACTAATTCTAATGAAGGATTACATTTTTACAGTGTTTTCAAAGCAAAACAAAAATAAATGGGAAGCTTTGAGTTTTTTCATGCCTCTTTATTCGATGGATTTAGGATTTGAGGCCACACACACAAAAGTGTGTTATCATGATATCCTTTTTTTAATGGATTTGACACATTGTAGAGATTAGCTGAGCTTTTCTCAGTGAACAACCACACAGCTGAACCATGCGAAATAATCCCGACCTAAAGTTACGCAAATGCTACCGTGTTAACTCGCAATAGTCAAAGGACAGAAACCTCACCAGATTTCACATTCAAATTCCCTGTTGTTCACCTAAGTCACATTGTACACTTTCTGCATAATCCACTTATTAGTCAAGGGTTTTTGCACTCGATCATAAATTGAACTTTTCATGACCGCTTTCCACTCTATTTCTGAACAAGCCATTTTGCTAATGTAGCCGAATGACCTCTATATGTAAATGAGCTTTGCATATGAAACGAGTATTTATAGGCCAACATCAGCCTCTAAAACAAAACTGCTTTACATTGTGACATTCATCAGCCAGTCAGCAAACAATACGATTAGACATCTTGTTCAAAATAAACCGTAGTCACTCTAATCAGCGACAATATGTATCCTTCTTCCTTTTTATTAGCTCACTGTGATTGGGTTACTAAGAAATGCACTGTAGGTGGTCATGTGTTAATGTTGTAATCTAGTCCAGCTGCTAGACTATTATTGTAGCTCATTTTCAATAAATGCCCCTTTTTCACTATAGGGAGGATGTTTTGAGTTTTGAAAGTTACAGTGAGTTTTCCTACTGCAATTGACTTTCACTTCCTTCGACTGACGTCTTATAATGCGACCCATTTAAGATGTCTGATTCTGATCTGTGGTGCTGAAAGTGTTCAGACGCTTTATTACTTGTGCCATTTTTGAGTGAGTTTCTTTAGAGGTTCCTTGCTCAATTTTGGAGGATATCTGGAATACAATCAGATTTCCCACGAGCAACCTTGGCTGATTGGCTGGGTGTTTTTATGACCTCCCTTTTGTACCTCAGTGTCTAAATGTGAATCGATACACTGGGATAGAAAATTGTTGGGGGAATTATGGGAAGGGCACTCGACGGCTTTAGCCAAAGAGCCAGTCAGTGATGCCAGAATCATCTAAAGAGACACGTCTAGACCGAACGGCAGTGGTTTTCCATTACGCAGGTCAGTGAAGCAACAGATACTACACAGAACAAATGTGACCCTGGACCACAAAACCAGTCATAATGGTCAATTTTTCGAAATTTGAGATTTATACATCATCTGAAAGCTGAATAAATAAGCTTTCCATTGATGTGTGGTTTGTTAGGATAGGACAATATTTGTCCGAGATACAACTATTTGAAAATCTGGAATCTGAAGGTGCAAAGAAATCAAAATATTGAGAAAATTGCCTTTAAAGTTGTCTAGATGAAGTTCTTAGCAATGCATATTACTAATCAAAAATTAAGTTTTGATATATTTACGGTAGGAAATATACTAAATATCTTCATGGAACATGATCTTTACTTAATATCCTAATGATTTTTGGCATAAAAGAAAAATCAATAATTTTGGCCCATACAATGTATTTTTGGCTACTGCTACAAATATACCCCAGCG